TTCAAGGCTGTGGAATTACATGGTGTGTTCTCCATTGAATCTGTTATCTCTTGACCGGCATAGTGCCTGATGCTTTCTTACCAGGATGTTAATTTCAAGTGTCTACTTGAAGGGGTGTGGTGTGTCCAGTATCCAGAAAAGCATCATTTGTGGGTGTGTCTGAGGGTGTTTCTGAAGCGGATCAGCATTTGACTCAGTATCATAATAAAAAGGTCCCCTACTCCTCATTGGGCTGGCGTCATGCGATCCACAGAAGGGCTGCAGAGGGCAGGAAAGGGCCAGGCTTGCTGGCTTCTTGAGCTGGTACCGTCTTCTTCTTCTAGCCGTGGCCTTCAGGTTTCTGGTGCTCCAACCTTGACTTTGGACTCCAAGCTGCAGCTGGCCTGTTCCCAGAAGCTTCCTGTTCTGGGGCCTCACACTGGAGTTGCACCACAGTCTTCCTTGGCTCTCTACCTTGCAGCTCTCAGGAACTGCTGGAATCCACTGTCAAGTGAGCCTCGTTCCTGTAGTGATTCTCCCCTTCTACACCTGCAGGTGTCCAAGGGGCTTTCTTTCTCTGGAGAGCTCTTTGTTACTGGTTGCGTTAGAGCCTCACTCTGCCTTGTTCCTGAATGATACAGCATCAGGTGAAAAATATCACCATTTGTTTGTTATTCTATATTCTACCTTGGACTATTTCAAATAAAGCTGTAATAAAATTGCTAAGAAGATACACCTACTGGTCTTTCCAGAGATGTATTCTCAGGTAGATGCATAATGAAATTGCTGAGTGAAGTGTTTGTAACTCTGTGAGAAATGTTCAACTATTTCCCCGAGAGACTGTATTCTCTCCAGATACTCAACATATGTGTTAGAACTGTCTAGAGACAGAGGACTGAGGACCAATAGAGTGGTGTGTGTGTGTGTGTGTGTGTGTTAGCGGCTCCTACCATGACAGAGGCTGAGAAGTCCAGCAGGGCCAGTTCTGCAGTGCGGCCAGTGAGGGGAGGCTATTTTTCAGTTCTGTTGAGCCTTTACCTGATTGGAAGAGGCTCACCCACATTATGGTGAACAGTCTGCTCACTTAAAGTCCATCTATTTAATAGTTAATCCCAGCCCCAAACATCCCCTGAGTTGACACATAAAATTGATTTGTACTGGGCAGCCTGTGTCATCTTAGCCATCTTCTCAATCTCTACGTCAAAATGAATCTTCGATGTGGACAGTGACAAGGTCACCCTTCCTCGTGTGATAGCTCTGTTCTTGTGCAACTGAAAATGCAGTTGCCTTTTTTCCTTAATGGTACAAAGGCTTGGGGTGGTTACTGTTTTCTCTGATATCCTGCAAATTAAATTTTATGAGGGAATTCAACAATACTTACGTGCTATGATGAAGTTACTACACCCTAGTAGAGGACAAGAGAGAGAAGAAAGCATCCTGCACAGGTCCACACTCAAAACAGGGAGGAGAGCCTCTCTGTACAAGTCCACATTCAAAACAGGGAGGAAATCTTCATTACAGCTCCAGAATCTGGTCCCTAAGCACCTCCATGGGTGGTCTGTACCTGTGGGGTGACTCACATGTTCACTTTTGAATGGTCTGGACCCTGAATTGGGCTGAGGTTTCCCACTGGCTTTAATCACATGGCAATTGCCTTTGTTGCCTTGGAAGCCTTCTTGAGTGACACATGCCTTCCTCCTCATCCATTTGGTTTGTTTAGTTCGTTCCTTTGGCCTTCAGGACTAGTCACTCAGCAGTACAGAGTCCCTTTGTGTCTGTTGATTCACTGGTGGGAGAACCACAGCATTACCCACCCTCCCCAGCAGTGGGAACGGTCCCACCCACATTGGGTCTGGCCAGCCTTTGTAACCTGGTTGGGAAACAGAAATTCAACATGGCTAATTTACACTGAGACAGTGATGGACATGTTGAGCCTCTTCCCCATGTCTGCTGATGGTGGCACTTTTGAGACGTGTTCAACCTTTGTGTTCAAAACATTTGCCCATTCGTATATTGGTGTGCTTCTTTTTTAAACATTCACTGTAGATATGGCTCAGCCCTGGCTGCTCTTCCAGAGGACCTGAGTTCAGCTCCCAGTGCCCATGTTGGGCAGCTTACAACTCTATGTAACTCAAACTCCAGGGGATCTGATGTCCTCTTCTGGCCTCCATGGCACCTGCACACATGTGGCATGTACACACACACACACACACACACACCCATAAATGAAAAAGGGAGGAGGCTGGAGAGATGGCTCAGCAGTTAAGAGCACATATTATTCTTGTAGAGGACTCGAGTTTGGTTCCCAGATCCCACCTGTTTGGTTCCCAGGCTCACAACCACCCGAAACTCCAGACCCAGGGGATCCAATAACCCCCTCCGGCCTCCTCAGGACCCTCATTTACATGCATACTCACAGACACACAGATACACACATAAACACATAATTAAAATAAAACCTTTAAAAAAGAATTTTGCTTGTTTCTTAGAATTTACATATGCAAAATCTGTTCCTGTCTTAGGTTTTGTGATGTTATATACAGCCTGTAACAGGCCTGATGACATGTCAGTTATTTCAAATGGTGGTTAATATAATTTATCTTTTCTTTTTGGACTCTGCCCAGAAATATGCTTATTTTCCATGGATAGATCCTATATATAGTCTAGAAACATTATAATTTTACATTTTATTCATGATTATTCTTAGCTTTTTTTAGGGCATGAGGTAATGGTCCCTTTCATTTTTTTCCCTCCCATTTGGAATTCATTTTTTTCCATCAAAGTTAAAAAGACTTAAATCAACTGTATAGTGTGAGTTATGTAAATAAGTAAATAAATAAATGTAAAAAGAAAACAAAATTAAGAATAAGAATGGCATGGCATACAGCTCAGGAGCAGAGCACTTGCCTAGTATGTACAAGGTTCTAGGTTCAATCCCAAGTTACTGCTTAAACACAAAGGAGTTGGGGGCAGAGCTGGCAGAGTACTCCCCTGGCATGTGTGAGGCCCTGGAGATCCTAGACTCAGTCCCAAATAACACACACACACACACACACACACACACACACACAATTAAAACACTGAACTGTAAATTAAATTTAGATCTCCCATCCCTTGTGTTCCTTGGTGGGTCATGGTGGGAGAGGGTCACAGCAATGTCTTGATCAGTTCCCTGACATGTCAGTCAGTTAACCCACATCCCCAGAGAGCCGATCCTCGCCTACTTTAGTGACTTATTTGAATCCTTTCCTTCTGGTTGCACTGAACCCACAGTTACCATTTGTGAAAGTCAAGGTCTTGGAACTGTAGACTTTGGAAACTCACAGAGCAGTGCCACCCAAGTTCAAGTCCAGGATCCAGTGCTGCCGTTCTCTCAGATCCCCTCAGAGTGGTTTCCTTTTTCACTCACTGTGACCTGGGAGTTCTCCCCAGCTCCATACATTTAGACTCCCTGACTGTTTTAGCTTCCATCTGCAGCTTCTGTTCCTTTAATCCTGCTGTTGTGACTTTCTGGAGTTTAACAATCCTTTAAATTGCTTACTTATTATTTATGTATTTGTTTATGTGCATGCATATGCGTGTGTGTACTTGAGGGTGCCATCACAGTGTATATGTGAAACGCAGAGGACAGTGCTCTCCTTCCACTGTGTGGATCCCAGGGATCCGACTCAGGCCATCAGACTTGGTTGGCAAGTGCCTTTACCCACCTGCTGAGCCATTGCCCAGCACCCCCACCCCGGCCTTTCTAGAGTTTTATAATCCCCAGCTGTCTCTCCCTTTAGCCTGATTGGCTGCCTCTGTCTAGCTTTGTTGGTTCATTTCAGGCTGGACCACAAGGCGTCCTGCTAGATGCTGTTTGTGAAGGCCAGGAGACTTCAGGCTGAGAAGATTATCTAGAGCAGAGTGAATGTTTTGCCAAAGGTGTGTTGGAAGGCTCTGGAAACAAGTCCTTACTTCTGGGTGGGAGGATGCTCAGTGGGAGAAGTGCTTGCAGGGCAAGCATGAGGATTTGAGTTTGGATTCCCAGCATTCACGTCAAAAACTGGGTGTGTCGGCCCATGCCTATAACTCCAGCAAGGAGACAGGCAGATCCCAGGGGCCCACCAGTCTAGCTGAAACAGAGAACTCCAGATTCAGTGAGAGATCCTGCCTCAAAAGGATAGGTGGCGAGAGACTGAGTGAGGGACCTGATGTTGACTTCTGACTGCCGTCTGTGCACACACTCACCTGCACATACACACTGTCCAGCACACATTGACACACACAGGGCTACAACCCGCTCCTCCCCCATACAAAAACTGTTCACTCCTCAAACATCTGCAGACTTCTGGTATGTACCACACTCTACGATAATGTCCCAGCCAGGGCATGCCTCGGCCAAAGCTGGCTCTTGGGGCCGACTTTGAAGGTGGAGTGAAGATCTTTGGGATGTGTGCAGGGGAGTGGGAGACATTCCAACCATAAGGTATGGCTTGCTTCATTGGGTGCCTGGTGTCCTGAGCCAAGAATTCCTTGAGAAGGGGTAACCTGCTGTGGCCTGGATGTTTGCTGGGTGCGAGATAGTGAGGGCGAAGGGAATGGGCTAGAAGGCTGTTTAAGTTCTGCCGCAGGAGCCCAGTTCTGCTCTTACAGGTATCCTGTGTACGTTGCACAAACCCTCTGCCCTTTGCACTACTGTCCTCCTTGACTGTTAATTTCTGTGGACTTGAGGCCTCATGTGGTGTGACCACCCTCCTGACCTGTTCATCTTCAAACAGTGGGAGTGGTTGTGAACAGAGAAGAAATCCACCTATCAGAGCCAGTGGTGTGGGTGTGTGCCCTCCCCTGGGGCGTGTGCCCTCCCCTGGGGTCTGTCCTTCTGGGGTGTCCTTGGCCTCTTCAATTCTTCCTCTCCTGTTTATTTTTTAATTAGGGAAGGAAGAAGTTGAGGTCTAAACATATTATTTTAAAGATACCCTGTGGCATAAAATTTCCATTTATTTCCTACCCTGAAGTTTTTTTTTTTCATTCTTTTCTTTTAGGTTTCTTGCTATTTAAAGATTTTTGTTTGAATGAAATTAATGAAGCGGTACCACAGGTGAAGTTTTATGAAGAGGTAAGGAGCGGCCATCTTGCTGATATTTTCTTTCAAAAAGCCTGTCTCAGCCATGCTTTGGAAAAATTTAAGACTAGTAACTATTTCATGTATATTCAGAAATTCATTAAAAAGTAATCAGCGGCATGAAATAAGGCCTTTAGTAGCGAAGCTGACAACAACCGGTATTCCTAGAGGCTCTGGAATTCGAGGACACCAGGAGGAAGAGTAGGAGTGACTCCAATGCTCAAGTCGCCCAAGGACTCGGTTCATCTAGACCTTACAGAAACTGGCCAGCTCCTAGACATCTATAGAAACTGAGCCCAGGGGCTGCTGGGTTTGAAAGAGAAGCTAGCCTGAGATTTCTTGGCCATCCTGGAGGAGCAGATAAGGGACTTGTGGGGCAGGGACTCAGACATCCACCTGCGATTCCCAAGACACTGGGTGAAGTTTGATGTTGTAGGGGCCCATCCAGTGAGTGTAGAAGTTTCTAGAAGGTCCATTGAAATCTACCTTAGCGTTACAGCAGTTAGAGAATCCACTGGGTATTCTAGAACAAAAAGTACATTTTTGAAGTTAGAGGTCCATGGTTAGGCTCAGCAGCAGATGGGATAAAATACAAAATTAATAAATAATGCAGATCAATAGATAACTCACAAACTGAAGCCCAGAGAAAAGACACGGGGCATGGTTTAAAGGTCTGCTACAGCCAGGCATGGTGGTGCATGCCTTCAACCCTGCATTCGGGAGGCTGAGGCAAAGATTGCAAGTTCCAGCCCAACCTGGATCATATAGAGAGACCCCATTTCAAAACAGAGAAATAAAACATGTTTACATATCAACATATGCTTGTGAAACTTAACGAGAAAATCTTAAAAGCCATTCAGGTCAGAGTGAGGAAGACACATTACTTTTAAAAGAATAATATTTGTGCTGGAGATATGGCTCAGCAGTTAAGAGCGGCGTACTGCTCTTGCAGAAGACCCAGGCTCCATTCCCAGCACCCACGTTGGGTGGCTCACAACTGCCAGTAACTCTAGCTCCAGGGGATCTGAGTCTGGCCTCCTTCAGGCACCTGCACTTACATGTACATATTCATACAGACACAACATAAGTACACATATTTAAAATAATAAAAATAAATCTTGAAAAAAGGAACAATTTGATCATGACATCTTAAGAGAAAGGATTAAAAAAAATTAAATGTCCACTGTTCAAATAATGAAAAGAAATCTGACAACCTAGAATTCTAATTCCAGCAAGAATTCACTTTAAACATGAAATATAGTCAAAGAAAAACTGAGGGTCTTTGTCAGATATGGGCCTGAGTTGCCAGCTGCTCTGAGCAGAGTTCCTTTAGGCGGAAAGGAAAGTGGTCCCAGAAGGACACACAGGATGGGGGCACCTTGGGGTGAATATCCACACAGAGAGGTTGTAGGGGGACTGTGCGGCACGTGATGTGATGGGTCTAGAGTGTAAGAAGTGTGCAGGCGTGCAGGGCCAAAATGTGAAGCAGTCTCACAAAAGTCAGAAGAGGGTTCCTGAAGGTAAGGGAGTTTGAGGTTGTGGGACAGTTAGGGAGCATAATGTAGGCACTGGGGCATGTTCAGTCAAGGGTGCTTACTGTATCCTGAGGGACCATTTAGAAGAGGAGAGTGTGCGTATGCCACAAGTTAAAAGAGAAGAATACAAACAGTACTATATTGAGTAATCAAAAAGTAATAAAGGAAATAAAATAGGTCAAAGTGAAAACAGAGCATGGGGAGATAGCGACTATGAATATAATTACATTTAATGTAAATGGACTAAATATTCCAAGTGAAGGGACTGAGTAGTCCAGATTAGATAAAGAACAAAACCTCACATGGACAGCTCATTAGCCAAGCAGGAAGACAAAGATCTAGAACTTACACAGAGAGCAGAGCCCAGCTGGGGTCGGCACGCCATATCAACACACCACAGGTAATGCTTTGAGGCAAAGAGTTCTTAAGGGGAAATCCAGCAAGCTTCACAATGATAGATTTGAGCATTGTAAAAACAGAACCAGAGCATGTGAGCAAACACAGGTAGTTAGGAAACAAGCCTCCAGTCCTAGCAGGGTGTACAGGCTCATGGTAACCATGGTAGCCAATAAAGGGGCGGACACCCGCCCATTTGACTTGTACAGAAAACTCACAGAGCTAGCTTAGCAGTTAAGAACGCTAGCTGCTCTTGCAGAGGACCTGGGTTTGATTACCAGCACCCACACAATGGCTAACAACCGTCCAGAACTCCAGTTCCAAGGGAATCTGACACTTTCTTCTGATTCTGCAGGCATTGCACTACACAGGTTCATTTACATACATGCAGGCAATACACTCATACAGATAAAATAAAAATAATAAACACTAAAAGGAAAACTCAGAAACAGAATCTGTATACTTTAAAGTGCACAGGAGCATTGATTGATGGAGGTCATGTGCTGATTCCCTAGAGGAAGTGTCTAAGGTGTCAAGATGGTGCCACTCAGCTATTAAATTTAATAGCAGAGCAAAGAACTGTCTAACTGCCTGGAACCCAATACACCACTAATTAATTATGTGTCAAAGGAGAAATGAAAACAAAAATGATGAAAATGTTACATTAAAATATGCTTAAGAAATAGAATGCTGTTATTAGTAATGTGATTTTTTTTAACCTTAAAACATTTTCTCTGGGCTGGAGAGATGGCTCAGCAGATAAGAACACTGGCTGCTCTTGTAGAGGACCCGGGTTCAATTCCCAGCACCTACATGGCAGTTAATAACTGTCTATAACTCCAGTTCCAGGGGATCTGGATTCCAGGGGATGCCCTCTTCTGACCTTCAAGGGCATTGCACAACATGGGTGTAATTATATACACGTAGGCAATATGCTCATACGCATTAAAAAAAAAAAATCCCTCCCTCCTGCCCTCCCTCTTGCCCTCCTTCCCTATCATTCTGTATCCCAGGCTGGTGTCAAGCTTATCAAGCTTCTGCCTCAGCCTCCTGAGTGCTGTGATTGCAGGCATGTGCCACACATACCTACCCTAAAGTATTCCAGTGACCCAAAGAAATTCGGCCTCATGCGAATAGTTTTTATGCAAATCTTCCTTCTTTCCCCTCTCCTCTTCTCTTCCTTCTTTTCCTCCCTCTCTCCATCCCCTTCTGCTCCCTCTCCCCTCCCCCTCCTCTCTCTCTCACAAGGTCCAACTCTATAGACCAGACTGACCTTAAATGTGTGGTTGGATGACAGGACACATGTCAAAATTGGAGAGACATTACTTTCTTTCACATATACATACATATGCATAGATTTGTGAAACTTTTTCTTTAAAAATCAGTGTACTTTTGGGGCTGGAGAGATGGCTCAGCAGTTAAGAACACTGGCTGTTCTTGCAGAAGACCTGGATTAGAATCCCAGCACCCACATGGCAGCTAACAACTGTCCGTAACTCCAATTCCAGGGGATCCAACAGGCTCTTCTGTCCTCCGTGAGCATTGCACGACACGGGTGCACTTACCTACATGCAGGCAATACATGCATACACATAAAAATAATAAATTTTAAAAAAATCAGTGTACTTTTAAGAAGAGTGATCAGTTATGCTGAACATGTGACATCATGTTTAGAAAGCAAGCAAAACCCCCAAATACCTGGCTCAGTTCCAAGAGCCTTTGTTATTTTCATCTAAATCATAGTCAGGTGTTTTGTCTAGAAGTATCTGGTGCCATGTGTCCAGAGTTCTCCTGTTTCTGAAGGCAACAAGGCCACAGTCTCCACACCAAGTCACCTTTTGGAAGGCACAGCAGCTTTCCTAGGCCACAGCCGCTGCTGGCCTGGAACAGATGGGCAGTCCACTGGGGGCTTAACCACTCACCAATATGGTAGTGACTTCTGTCCCCATTTCCACTTGAACTTTAACCCCTGGCGTTTTTCCATTGACTGCCTGCCCAGCACGTCTCCCTTTCCTGGCCTGCACACAGTGGGGCCGCCTGGCCTGCACACAGTGGGGCTGCCTGGGTGCTTTCAGGCTTTCAGCACCTTGTTCTCTGTTCTTAGACGACAGCATCCACCTTGGGGCTGCTGTGCGGTTCTGGAATCATGGCAGCCTTCAAACAGCGATGCCCTAGTCATTTATTTGACCTCTTTCTTTCTTCAGCCTGATGGTGTCTTCTCTAATTTCTAGAATACTCTGTCATCATGGACCCTGACATGCATTTTGACTGTCCTGTGTCCACAGAATGAAAGATTCCACACTTGATGCCAGTCTCCTCTCCCTCCCTCTCCCCCCTCTTCCCCTCTCCCTCTCCCTCCCCTTTTGGCCTAACAGAGCCCTGGAGCCCACCCACCTCTCCTTGCTTGGTTCCTGCACCTGCCTAGTGAGAACATTGCAGCTTCTGTAAGCTCCTTGAAAGCTTCACTTGCCTAAAGGCTGGCTCACTGTGGACAGGCCTCCATGTTCCTGATGAGCCTGACACTCTGTGCCCTACATTCTTACTATACTTGTGCCTGCTGCTACTTGCAACATCATCATTTCATCCCTTCCTGAATTCACACACTGACAGCCTAGCTAAGCCTGCCTGCAGCCACGCCTTCCAGGTGCTGTGGACATGGAACACCGTGGCTTCTCTGAAGCATATGACCCTGAGATTTTGAAGCAGATACAATCCCTTGACTTGAGGGGCTCACAGAATGGGGACTCAAGTCTGAGGTACTTTGTCCAGTGAGATGGGTGGTCGTCCCTGCCCACTTCAGAGGCTAGCTGTAGGGTTCAAACAGAAAACCAGAAAGAGTTACTTTCTGCACTGTAGTGTCTGTTGTATGCTGGTCAGGCACCTGGGCACAGGGTATCACCGGGGTAAGAGTTAAGCCTTAAAACCATTTTATTTAGGTTTCCTGCTAACTGGCAGGCACACAAGCTTCTTGCTACCTGTGTCTCCTCTGCTAATAGTTGGAGTGTCCCAGAGCCTGCCTCGTGTATATGTGACACCTGGAAGAGTATTCCCCCCATACACCAC